GAGTAGCAGTTTAAAACTGCCTCTGAGTACAGAGGAAAGAGTTGGCAACAGCTCTGTGATGTAAGCTTCTGTGTTGTTGTCCTGACCCTCACTGAAGAATTCAAACTTAGGCTTCTGTTTCCCAAAAAATCTTTAATGAGGCAGGGCAATAGTTAAAAGGCACAGCAGGCAAATTACACAGCTGAGCAGAAGCAGAGATGCTGATCCAAGAAGTGGCACACCTTCTGTCTCTTCCAATTGAAGTGTGGGGTGGACACAACCCTCAGTGTGGCAAATAGCTCAAGTTTAGGAGATGCCTGACTAGATATGCTCAGTGACACAGGGGCAGAATCCTCTCTGTCAACCTGCTTGGACCCTCGCCAAGATCCAGCTCCTGGCTCTCTTCATCCTAGTCCCAGCCTCTGGCTCAGATATTTCTTGGGACCCCAATTTCACCACCACCTGCTTGGACCCTCCTCTGTGTCATCTAGCTCCAAACCCTTGATCTCCTCCCACTCCTCAGGAATTGACCATCCCTTCCATGACATCGCCACATCTCTTTACACAGTACACATCTCTGCTACTTCTCTTTGTTAAAACTGGGATTTGGGGTTGTTGCTTTTTTAATAAAAACCCTCTGTGTTACTCCATCCTTGCTTTAGTCAAACCTCTGCCATTGTTTAAAACCACAATTTTCATCTCAGATGGTCTCCACCACCACCCCCTCACACTTCTGCCATTGTCTGAGTACAGTGAGAAGGAAAAGACGAGAAACAAAAAGCCATTCCTCAGCTGCTTCAGGTGACAGAATAAAGGATGAATAGCCCTCAAAAGTTTCACACAATGTATTTTACTCCTGATACCATGTGTTGTCTTCAACATGCCGTTCAGATTCAGTGTAGTAATTTCGAAGACCTATTTTATTAACGAGAAAAAATTGCTGGCATCTGTCTGTCTCAGGAGACAATGGAGGAATGAGCCTTTGGGGGTGAAGTCAAAGTGGACACCCATAGATAGATGATAGATAGATGATAGATAGATGATAGATAGATAGATAGATAGATAGATAGATAGATAGATGATAGATAGATAGATAGATAGATAGATAGATAGATAGATAGATAGATATGATGTTGTGAATTGGAGGGGAGGGACCCCTAAACCCAAGAAATTAATGAATGTCAGAACCTTGTTAATATTAAGATTCCAGGCCAGGGGAAAAATACAGGTTAAGCTTCCTTTCCAAGCCAACACCTCACCAGGGAAAGAGGTGTTAACATGACAAAAGGGGTTGATGGCCCATCTAAGAGGAATCATTGGGCCTGAGCAGACAGAGGTTGGCAATGTGACAGGGTGTGCATGTGATGTGACAGGGAAAGAGTGCATTTAGCAAGGTGTGCTGGGAACGAGAAGGGGGAAACAAAGACAGAGATCCATCTTTGGCAGGATGGCTGAAGGGAGGCTGGGGGAGATGCAGGGAACAAGCCACTCTTGAGATGACCATCCTGTAAGATCTGAACTCCCTCCAAACAAACACAGGTGTAAATATGTGAATAATATTTCCTAAAGCTAGGACAGTCTCTGCTACGTCTTTATTCTCAAAGGAACACAGATCCTGGGTGAGCGTCTGGAACCCTCCTAGAATCTTGGCACAGCTGAATAGAAATTGGCGGTGGCGCCCAACTTTTGTAGCAATATACAGATACATATACACAACATTGATCAACAGAGTTTAGCCTTCTCTAGCAGAATAAGCCAACGTACTTGCTGTTAAGAATCTACAGTACAGTGGTACCTCGGGTTACAGATGCTTCAGGTTACAGACTTTGCTAACCCAGAAATAGTACCTTGGGTTAAGAACTTTGCTTCAGGATGAGAACAGAAATCGTGCTCCGGTGGCACAGCAGCAGCAGGAGGCCCCATTAGCTAAAGTGGTGCTTCAGGTTAAGAATGGACCTCCGGAACTAATTAAGTTCTTAACCCATGGTATCACTGTAACATACTGTATATCTGCATAAAGTGTTGGCATAAAAGCGGCTGCAGAATGGGGAAGATGAGGAGGCATGGAAATGGGGTTGATCTGTGTACAAGGGAGTGCTGAGAAAAGTAGGAAGAACAGAAGAGAAAATGGAAAGTGCATAGGGGGTTCCAAACATGGAGAGAGAAGGAGGCATGGAAATGGAGTTGAAACAGAATGCCGAGGCATGAAAGGGTCTAAAGAATAGGAGCTGGTGGTGGCTTCATAGTTGGACAAAAAATGAAAAGGGTGTTCAGTATTTGCAATGCAGGAGAGGTAGAAGATGCAGGAGATTACCCTGCAAGTGGATTGTGGGCAAGTGTGGTTGCACAAAAGAAAGAGGAAGATATGGACACGGGGTGAAGGTGAAAACGGGGTGCAAAGTGGGGCTGTAGAATAGAAGGGAGAAGTGGCTTGGGAAATGAGGTTGGGAAAGTGAAGAGCAAACTTAGTAGCTGCATGGGGTGTGAAGGGGAAGCTCTACGGGGTGAATCTGGAGGAATGACAAGGGGCTGGTTAGCGGAGTCAGCAAGGGCACAGTATCTAGCATGGAACATCATTTGCACAGGGACATGATTCCACAGAATGTAAAACACAGTCCTATATAATCACTTGTCTTCAAAGCAGATGTGGGGGAGGAAGATAATCTACTTTCTAACCAATGAAGTCCTAGTGTCACCTGCTTTCTTATATTCTAAAGCAAAACTCTGGCGTAGTAACTTCCCTGTTATCACCTCTGTCTCTTCCCAAACAGCCCAGATACCCCAATGGAAACTACCACCCACTTTAGTTTTATCCAGAGAAAGAGAATCTTAGATACATGCCACACACACACACACACACACACACACACACACACACACAATGACTTACCCTGTATCAGGGGTGGCATAGAGAGGCAGAAAAAGGAGAGGAAGATTCTCATAGTGCAGAAGGGCCCTGCCTCACCTCCAGGGGAGCAGGGCAACCTCAAACCTACAGCCCTCCAGGTTTGCTTCTGCTTCTGCGAGAACTTAGGTGTGCAACGAAACAGGCAGGCACTTCCTGGCAGCCTCCTGGGAGAATGTGACCCAACCTGTCTGCCCACCCACTACGCTTTCTGTCCCCTCCAGGTAACCACGCCTTACTGGCCTTTTGCCCCCTCCCAGCTTGGTCAGGTTTTGCTGTGATGAGTTTGGTCAACTTAGATTCATAGATCTAAGGCCCTCTTCCAAGAAACAAGGTGCTTCTCCAAGTAGAGTGGCAGGAGCGAAGGCAAGGGAGGGAGGGAGAAATCCCTCTTGTGCTGTGTTAGCCTGAATAAACAAAACAGGATACCTGTTAGTGTGCCTTTTTCCGGATACGAACTTGGTGCCAGTTCTTTGTGGAATAAATGAAAAACCACAGCAACTTACATTGTGCGGAAATTCCATTTTCTCAATGGTAGAACGGCTAAATGGTGTTGTTGCGAACAAAGGAAGGCATACTCAAGAGGGAGCATGCAGGCCTGATTCACATGGGCAAAACCCTCCAGGTGACCCTTTAATTGTGCATCATGAGTATTTATATTCATGCCTGCATAAGTGATCATGCTTTCAATAATATTTGCTCCTGAAAAACTTTTTTTGGGGGGGAGGACATTCTACTGCTTCATTTCCAATCAAGGTATATCCTGTAATTACCTGCTGAAATCCTGCAACATTTTGTGCCATACATGTTCTCTAGTGCGGGGGGGGGGAGTATTTTTGTTGCGCTATAGCCCCACCAGGCAGCAATAATGTGGTAGCTTTGGGGAAGCATCCAAGAACTAATAAAGCAGAATAAATCTGCCATGAATGCACTTGTGTCAAGAACATGTTTTATTGTAGGTGTATTGCCCCTTTATCTGACTCTCAGGACTCTCTCCAAGCCACAGCCCTGCTCTGCACCATCCTCAGATGCTTTCTTTTGCATGACTGATAGCTCAGTTGGTAGAGCATGAGACTCTTAATCTCACGGTTTTGTGGGTTCAAGTCCTACAAAGGATTGGGCAAAAAACCCCTGCATTGCAGGGGGTCGGACTCGATGACCCTCTGTGTCAAGGGGAACACACACTACTTTCAGCCCCCTTGGAAAGATAAGGCGAAAGCTCAATCCCAAACTCACTGAAATATTAAGTAATTTGAAAGCAACCTGCGATGAGGCAAATAAACAGAAGCCTTTATTGCAACAAAGAAATATTTCCAAGAATTGGATGACAGATTTCAGCACAGTGTCAACACATATACACACAAACTTTCCATTGTCCCATTCCCCACTCCACCCCCCAAAAAGACTTAGCTCTTTGGATTTCAAACCTCACAAGGAGAGGATGGCAAGTGTGGCAGGAAGATTCAAGGAAAATCAATATTATGTTTTGAGAATGATTCCTGTTCCATTGGAAGATGCCCAGAGTGGAAGATGCCCAGTCACATGATCGGGTACAAGTGACTTATTATTATTATTATTATTATTATTATTATTATTCATTGTTTTATATTTTCTCGATTTCCCATGATTATATCATAAAGTAGTTGTGTTATATGTTATAAATCAAGTACTGCTAGGAGTTGTTTCTTTTTGTTTTCCAATGTATTGCTTATCAATTTAAAAAAATGGCTTGGCATGAGGAAAATTTTGTTCTGAAAGTGTGGCCCAGAGAAAAAAGTTTGAGAACTGGCCTATCCAGACCAGCATTCTTTTCTCACAATAGCTAACCAGAAGCCCATGCAAGACCCACAAACAGGGGGTGAGTCCCCTTCCTGGCTTCTGAGATTTCCCCTGGAATAGTCAACGTGCTTTCACATTTGTCTTCACTGCTATTTGGACTAGAAACCTGATTATATTATTATTTTCAAGCAAGAGGATCTTTTCACATTGCAAGAAGGCAGAAGGCGAAGAATTCTAGGGCGCTTTGTCCAGGAACGAGAACAATTATGGCACCTACCCTTCACTTACTATGGGACAGAAATGCTTTGCCCTACTGATCTTCAAGCTGCAACCCAAATCATCCTTCAAGCAGGATACCAGGTGTGGGAAACATTTGGCCCTCCCGGTGCTGCTGAACTACAACTCCCATCAGTCACAGTGAGTATGGCCAGCGGGAGTCAGAATTCAGCAACATCTTGAGGCCCAAAGGTTCCCCACAACCTGGGGCTGCCTACAATGTACCCAAATTCAGCACTGATTCTACAGCGGCAAGCTGGCAAGGAACTCTTCACCTCAAGAATTCCCACTGCAAGAAAGGCAGGAGGAGGGAAAGAGAGAAAGTGACAAGAGGAGCGGAAGTGAAAAGTCCGAAATGGTTCCCTCCCCCCTCCAGAGCGATGGGCACAATTCCAAACCGCAGGCCAGGAACGTAACGCTGCAGCCAATCGCCATAGGACGTGACTCTGGTGTAGACGCCGGGGCGGTACGGGAGTGCACAGCCTTGTCCCCAGCTCACGATGCCAACCAGGAACCAGGAGTCATTTTGGGCACAGACCAAGGGCCCCCCGGAATCACCCTAGAAACAAACAAGCAGAAGCAGGGAATAATAACGCCCCTCAGAATCTGTCCCCAGGCAACCAGCATCTCAGTGCCTGCTCCTTGACCACATAGAGACCTTATTGAGCATCTGTAGAAGTCTCTGAGGAATAGGCCAGGAACATCTGAAAACATCAGAAACCATTCAAGACAACTGTCAAATTGCTCACCAGGCAGGCGTCCTTTCCTCCTTCTTTATATCCAGCGCAAATCATGTTGTCTTTGACAGGATTGTACCCAGTTGGGGGCTCATTGAACATCTCGTTGCATCTGTCAACATCTATGAGGGAGACCTGGACTTGTTGCAGCTTCTGAGGGGATGGAAGTGGTACTAAGAATGCAAAGGAGAAGAAAAGTGAGTTGCATTCAGGCATGGTGAATGTGCAACCCTGTGCAACCCTGCCTCCAGACTGCCCTCTCCCTTTCTTCCTGTGGCCAAGGAGAAACTCTGCTTCAGGCCTGAATTAAGAATCTCTGTATGACTCTGCTTAACAAACCTTGCACTGTAAAGATCTGCATGGTGATGGAATCAGTAGTCAAGGGTCAACAGGCAACACAAAAGGGATAAGCCTTACTGGAACATGGTGGTCTGGCTACTTTCTGGAGCCAGCCACAGAGAGAATACAATTCCAGTTTTCAAATGTCCTTACCAGCTACCTCCAAATAGTTACAGGGGCTAAGTTAAAGTACTGGTGTTAACCTTTAAAGCTGTAAACAGCTTAGGACGCGAGTATCTAATCAGCATATCTTCCCATATAAACCTTTCCCCCTCTGAAGAAGGCTTCTTCCAGGTACCATCATTCACAACAACTAGACTCACATCAGTTAGAGCAGGGCCTTATCAGTGGTGGCCACCAGGAGGGGGAGAGGCAAGGTGTGGGAAGGTTGATATTGCACAAACACCAGCAGATCCATTCCCTCTCCCTACCAGTAAGCAACCACTCTGTCAAGAAGCTAGAATAGCCATCTGTGCTACCCAGTGAGCCACTTCTGGCTCAAGGGATCCCCATGACTAAAGGATAAACCCTCCCAAAACATGCCACTCTCTTTCAGAATTCATTCCAGGTTGACCTCCAACCCCATGTTCTCACCAGGCTCTCACCATCAAAGCCAATGTTTCCCCATCCAGTCACAAAGCACGCCATGCCCTCAGGGAACACAGCCGAAGGAAATGGCACACACACTGGGAGGAAGTATGGGGTATAGTTCATGGGTCTTTGGAGCCTCAATAAGGCGATGTCCCCTCTTGTCCCAGTCCCATTAAATGCTATGTTACGGATTACTTGGGCGACAGGAACGGTCTGGGATTTGGAGCTTCTATTTGCAAGTTGATATGCTCCCAAGGTCACGGTGATGTCTGAGAAAGGATTCAGTCTGAGAAACAGAAATGAAACAGAAAAGAAAATGCATTGGGGTGTGATACTGCAGCAAGGGATGGAGTCGCTGACTAACAGTCAAAGAGCATTTAAAAAATGGGTTTCCCAGGATCCAGCAACCTCCAGGCTGTGATTCAAAGCCAACAGTGGTCCATACTAGCCATGACACCTTCACACTTTTAGCCTTTGCACTGAATAAGTTCCTTGTTAGCATTATTAGCAGGTGCAAAGGGCCTTATTCAGACTGGGGGGGTCAAATGGTTAAACGCCAAAGAGTTAAATGCCTGCCACACACACCACCACCAGAGTCCCAATCCAAATCAGGGGACCCACCAGCTTTTCATTCTAACGTGATATTGATGCAACTGCTCGTGTTGCCATGCCTGTCTGGCCCTGTGGCATCTGAATATAGACTGCATTTTTAATCAAGGCATATATTGGCATATATTTTGATCAGGTTCCTAAATTAAATGGGCTTAGATTTTCAAATGTTTCATGCCAGGCAAGAAGGCCAGCTGTTTATAGAGAACCTTGGCAATGTTTTCCTCCTAGACAAGGGGCCCCTTGATTTATAGCAGAAAACAATTCTCAAAGTCGTGAAAGGGGGGAATTACAGGTTAAAGAGCAAGGTTACGGACCCAACATAATTAAGAGTTAGTAAACAGTAAAATAAAACCATGTGCCTTAAACTTGAGCCACAGGACAAAAGGCCAAGAGCACATGGAAAACAAGCAACTGGCTCGAGAAGGGGGGGGGGAGTATGAACAGGGGAAGAGGCTTTTTATTTCCTATTTTATTTTGAGGCTGTAAACTGTTCCTTCCTTTCACTTTGAGGAAATTTATCCTTCTAAAAAGCTATCTATGATAATGTATGAAATATATTGGCATAAATGTAATTATGCAAAGGATTTAACAAATGCTAGATTCTTATTTCATATAGTTGTAAGAGTTGTATTTAAGTCAGCCCCCCTGCCAGAAATGAGACGCCAATCGAGCACTCATGACAAATGGTTGTCAGGCCTTTGTTTAAAGACCTCCAAAAGGAGATATTTCATTGATGATGCATGAGAATATGAACCCAAGGTCTCTGACATCTGTTCAAGATAAAAATTTAAAATTATTAACCATTTGTTTTAGAAGGCAGTAGGGCAAGGAGGGCAAGAGGTGAGCTGGTAATTAAGATTCCTTGTTGAGACACATGTAAGATATATTAATACTTATTTGTCATTTATAGATGTAACAATATATAGCTCTTTGTGTTCCATATAAGGACAGGAGGATATGAGTGTATTTTTGTGATTGGTTATACCAATCAGCCAATAGGAATTTCAACCAGGCTGATGGGACAGAGGCAGCCACAGGAGGAGCAAAGGGGGCTGGATTAAGGGAATATAAGTGCTGGCCATAATGGCAGGAGGCCAGGCCAGAGCTTGGTAACCATATACCACTGTGCCTCTCATTTATTTGTCTGACAAATAAATAATTATTTTAATTTCTCTGTTGCTGCGTTGAATATTTCATTCCAGCTAAGCGTTAACCACAAGCAGGGTGCTACAGCCCCATCACGCAGAAAGACTGAGACATTTCTGAAGCACACTGGTGAAATGTCACTACCTCCTTGCTGGTACTTACCTAAAGCAGTGAGCGGCTGACACAACCCACTGTTGTGCCACGAGGGACCCACTGCAAAAATGCCTCCCCTTCCAACCGACACTGACCTGCCATGGCCAGGCTCCAATCTGCGAGGCTTGGCCGCCCACAATTCGGTCAGACAACACTGGTTGACCACAGACTTGAAGAGGAAAGAAGAACACGGAAATGCATAGATCACAACACAGCTGGAAAAGTGCACTTTGATTGTTTCCTTGCCAAAGGTTGGTGATATTTTAGCTCCTGGGAGCTAAAGCAAACATGGCCAGATTATCTTATTATCTTTTCCTTCTTTGCTTAATAATACCTATGGGAGGCGGCATGTATTTTAGCATCCTTTTTCATGTTCTAAACCTCCCTTCCTTCATCTCCCTCCCTCTCTCTCTCTCTCTCTCTCTCTCTCTCTCTCTCTCTCTCACACACACACACACACACACTGAAATAGCTATTAGGCTTGATCCCAATGCCATTGCTTCTGTCAAAATCAGGGCTCCCCACACCAGCTTTAAAAGAGAGGGTTAAGGAAAGCCAATCACAGATCTCCCACATCACACCTGTTTGGGTTCTAACTGCCTGAAAGTACTAGGTCACCCTACCTTTCTACACTAGGATGCCCAACCTCTACTGTAGGAATTTGAGCCTGTGGTCCTCCTGATGTTGTAGCAGGGATGACTGTGAATATGTCAGTTTCAGTATCTCTGTTTCCGAAATTGAAGTTCACTTCTCCACATTTACACATCAGTTTGCGATTTAACAGAGAAAGGAAAGCACTCAGGAAAATTCATCAGGCTTATAGTGCAAATGTCTCCTAATATATATGTTCATATGCAGTTTTGCATAATACACACATTTTTGCAAACCAGTTTCCTCCTGCCTGTGGTTGGGAGCCAGCGGTGGCACCTCTCCTTTCTGGGCCAGTTCTCCCAGGCGCCAGGCACGGGGCCAGAGGCATGCCAAGCTCCAGCCCATCACGATGCCCACAGTGCGGCCATGGACAGAGAGGCAGCGAGGCTTCGGATTGGCTGGCACCAATCAAAGCCTAGTTCCCTTCCTCTGCAGGGCGAGGAGAAGCCAGGAGGAGGGAGGGAGGAGGTGCCACCGCAGTGTGTGTGAGGGAGGGGGGGAATGGTGCCCCCCAATGCAAAAAAAATGGCACAGCCCGAATGATCACACCGATCCAAGCGGTGATTCCAGGACTGTCTGCAGGCAGGATCCGGAGGGCAATTGGGCCTGATCCAGCCCATGGGCCTTAGTTTGCCAACCCATGCTCTGGAGAATCCACAGATCATAATTCCCAGGGCACACACCCCTTGCTTCCCCTCCACTCAAACTGAGGAACCCACTCTGAAGCTGAACCTGAGGACAGAGCCCAGGTGGCTAGTTTGCTTTGTATTGCACGGGTGACATTCTTACCTGAAAACAATTCATCTGCCCCTGGGGAAAGAATTCAGGAAAGGGGGGTGGAGGGAGAAAGAAGTAAATTATTATTAGCATTGGGAAGAGGGTGTATCTTTTTATTTTTCAAAAATCCTCCAAACTCTGAGGCTGCAGTCCTGTGCACACTTGCTTGGGTTGGGGAGTAAGCATAAATGAAGGCAGGGGGAGGTCCTGGAAACTGTAGCTTGCCCTTCACAGAGCTACAGTTCCCAGCACCCTTATCAAACCCCAGTCCCCATGATTCTTGGGAGGTGGGAATGTGCTTTAGATGTATGGTGTGTGCATAGACTCAACGAGACCTGCATCTAAGTAAGCGTGTATCCGATTGCACTGGAAGGCTTCAAAGTGCACTATTGCACTGAGCTGCCTCTGCTGGCTGCCTCATTGATGAGGCTTATAGCAATACTGTCTACTTGCTTGCTTGCCATTTGCTCGTGCCATTTCTGTGATGTCATGTAATCCCTTTGCACTCTGTTTTGGGAGCCTTGCACACACCCCTCAAAAAAATGTAACGTCACCATAACACCCATAACACTCATGGCAGCCACTGCAGATATCTCTTAAGTTATCCTTTCATAATGTTTAGATAATGTATTTGCATCCTAAAGTCACAGTGTTTGGAAAGAGGCTGTGAGAGGGGAAGGTGAGCTTTCGGATCTGCCACACCTCAGGCTCCGGCATGCAAACTATCCATCAGGGGGCAGTGTTGAACCAAATCTCATTCTTTCTCTCTCCAACTGCAGCTATCTCCTACAAACAAAGGTGTTACCTGTTGGCAAATGAATAAAAAATAAAATGTGCAGGAGTTGCAGAGCTTTTTGTGCTGTGGGAAGTAGAATTAGCCCTTGCATGAGACAGGCTGAGGGAACACTCTGAGGCACCAATAAAGGGCAGAGGATTGTAGCTCAGTTAGTTTACTGCTGTGAGGGGACGTAACTATTATTTGGGGGTTGTTTTGCTTCAGGCACCGGACTTTCGTTCGCTGTCACAGTAGCAAATTCACCCCACAGTTGATGCTCCCAACACAGTTAATGCTCACAACATCCTACCATTTCATTGCTTGGCTCAGTGTAACCTGCAAGCCAGGCCTCTATCTGAAAATGTGGCTTCGAAGTGGCCTGAACCATGAGGGGTTGGACAGACCAATCCTGTTAAGTATAATGGATTTAATTCACACAGAAATGAAAAGTGTATGTGTATTAATGAAGGTTTGAAGTGAGAATGCCTAGCTGTGTATTGGTGAAAAGGTTTAACATGGGGTTTTCCATGGGGCTATATTAAAGCCAAGGAGAGCACTTAGAGCTCTTGCTAAGTTAATGATTTACTGATGGATTGTTGTCCACTGCTAGTTAACATGCGGGTGTTGTAACCTTAGATCATGTGAGAGGTATTAGGTTGCAAAATTTCCATTTTGAAGGGAGTTTTCTGTGGAATGCCCTCCCATCAGATGTCAAGGAAATAAACAACTACCTGACTTTTAGAGAACATCTGAAGGCAGCCCTGTTTAGGGAAGTTTTTAATGTTTTATTGGGAGCTGCCCAGAATAGCTGGGGAAACCCAGCCAGATGGGCGGGGAATAAATAAGTTGTTGTTGTTGTTGTTGTCTCCCAAACTCAATGGAGTGAAGATGTAAATGAAGCTCTCCTGAAGGGAGAGTAAACAGCCTGGAGGCTGGAATGCAGACTGTGGAGAAGGAGAGACCTTTGTTCCTAGTTTGGTCTGGATTGTTTCATATTTTGTAAGATGCTGAGCCTGTGCTGGACAGCACAAGACATTGCATGGGTGTTTTGGAGGAATCACTTACTGTATTCTGTTTCATTTTTAAAAGTCGTGCCAGTAAAATTTTGAATAATATTTTTATGGGCCTGGATAATAATTTATTCCAGAAGGAGTCAGTTCTTATGCTTCCAGTCACTTCAAAACTCTGCAATATTAATATCTGCAAGAAATCAACCAATGCAGTATCTAAGACAGCATCGAAAACATTGAAGCAGAAAGTCTCTCACATGTACATCCATACAGAGTTTGCCATAATCCCTTTTCAGTGCCAGGGCTTAGCAGAGCCATCAGAAGACGACTGTTCTCCTGACAACATGCAAAGTGCCTTTTCCTCACCACAGAGCAGCTGTCACCAAATTGCAGGCAAAGCGACATTCAAGGAAATGGCATTTCAGCTCTGAGAGTGTAGCTTCCAGGCCATTTTTAGGCTTCAGCATCGTGCTTTAAAAAGAAAATCTGAACTCTTCATCCATGCATGGGTGCCCACAAAGAAGGGGAGGGAGTAGTTTCCTTGCTCCCCACCCCCATAAATATAACCCCAGATTCCAGCTTTCATTTAAAAGAAAAGGAATAAGTTTCTATAGAACCAAGATATGAAACAAAATGTACCAGCGCTATTCTTTTCCATTTTTGTGAGGGATTGGCCTGCTCTCCTCTTTCAGTGTTTTACTTCACCATGTACTCCCCTCTCCACTGGGGGTGGGGGGGGGAATCCTGCAGATGTACATGTATCTATTCATGGTCTCCTAATCACACAACACTCTTTCAACACAACCATGATTTGGGAAAACATAAAGTTTTCTACTGGAGCCTAGCTGTGCCCCCATGTACCATCGTTTAGCCCGGACACTGAGATCCAGCGCCGAGGGCCTTCTGGTGGTTCCCTCATTGAGAGAAGTGAGGTTACAGGGAACCAGACAGAGGGTCTTCTCGGTAGTGGCGCCCACCCTGTGGAACACCCTCCCTTCAGATGTGAAGGAAATAAGCAGCTATCCTATCTTTAAAAGACATCTGAAGGCAGCCCTGTTCAGGGAAGTTTTTAATATTTAACGCTGTACTGTTTTTAACACTTGATTGGGAGCCACCCAGAGTGGCTGGGGAAACCCAGCCAGATGGGCGGGGTATAAATAATAAATTTATTTTATTATTATTATTATTATTATTATTATTATTATTATTATTATTATTATATCCCACAACCCTGGTTAAAAAGCATCACTCCTCTATTCTAAGGGGCTCGTGGGAAAATGCTAGAGACACATCCCAGCACAAGGAATGCCCTTTCAGTAGGATCATACTTGCTCATTCATTGCTTAATCACTACACAGTCCAGTGACCAGGGGTGGAGGAAGAAGGGTGCAGTGGGTGCAGGCTACCCCAGGTGTCACCACTGGGGGGGTGACAAAATGCCGGGTTGCACTCACCGCGGGGCCTGCAGGGACATCCGAGCCACACGTCTCTCCTGGGAGAGACGCAGTGGCTTGGGCCCCCACAGGCTCCACGCTGCCCAAATGGTCTGCCCACTGCCTCCCCCTCAACTGTAGGGCGGCTGAGTGGGAGGAGGCAGGCAGACGCCTCGGAGGCCCCGCAGTGCACCCCGCCCTCACCCCACCCTCATCCCAGGTGCCCTCGCGGCTTCCTCCACCACTGCTAGTGACAATCCCCATCTGCTAATTAATTCATCCCTGATTTAATATCACCAGAGACAGGACTTTCATATCACCAAGTGTCATCTCATAACACAACAGTATATAACCGAATTAGGTTGTATTTTCCAATTGGTCATCAGATGTACAACAGTATTTTAAAAGAGATAACTTTAGGGTAAAGTACGGAAACCATTGCCGGTGTGTTTCAGTGATAATTTACCTTCTCTGGTGTTTAATTTGTACTAAATGACCGGTTTCCCTAGCCAACACACACATAATGTGTGTATATATAAAGAAAAATTGTTTAAAAGTTCTGAATTAATGGTATTTTAACCCCTTACAATCTAGGTGCATGTTTGTTTGTTTGTTTTTGTTTGTTTGTTTGTTTGTTTTTAATGGCCCTTTCCTCCTCGATCCTGAGAATGATCCCTGTCATGATGGCTCTGTAGCTAATATTCCACCACCACAGTTGGGCTTCTGCCAATTCATATTGTTCCTCAGTCAGCTGATCTTCACCACCAAACTGTGCCCGAAATATTTCCTTTCTGTTGACTTTATAAAGAGGGTATAGTATTTCGAGATTTATTTGCACAAGAGATCTTCTCTACTGTAAATGTTGTTCTTAATAGTTATAACTATTTCTTTTGTTATAAATATTTACTTAAAAAAAATAAATGGGAAAGGTTTGAAATGTCACAAGAGACTAGGGCCCTGCGGGACCTGACATCTTTCCGCAGGGCCTGCAAGACAGAGTTGTTCCACCAGGCCTTTGGTCAGGGCGCAGCCTGACTCCCTCCTCTGGCAACCTGCACAGTATTTTGGTTGCCATCAATTTGATTTTAATTTAATTAATTTTTATAATGAAATATTTTAGAATGTGGGATTATTCAACTATCTGGTTATTTGATTGCTGTTAGCCGCCCTGAGCCCAGCTTCGGCTGGGGAGGGCGGGATATAAATAAAATTTATTATTATTATTATTATTATGTGTCCCATGCTTCTGTGCCACGATGGTTTTGTTCACCTATGCATTCAATATATTCAGATGCGCTGGACAAGAATTATGTGCATAGCTGAAAAACAAATACTGAATAAAATGTTAAC